TTTAGCAGAAAGGCAGGGCATGTATGGAAAGGGATTCAAGCCAGAATAAAAATAAGGAAGATAATGCAAAGGGAAACATTTAGGGTAGAATGGGTTAGCTCTAAGTTGTCAGGACTATGAAAAATCCTTTTCTCAGACCTTTCCTTAAGCATCTGTTTTGGACTGCCTCATTTCCAGAACTTTTTCTCAGAGCCTGGAAGTTTAGAGTTTCAAGCATGTTTTGGTATCTCTCTGAGAAATAAAAGCTCATGTTCTAAACCTTAACATTTCTACTGATTTCTAAGGTTTGCGATTTATTTGACTTATGACTGCAGGACTTTTACTACCTGAGATGCAACTTATGTTTTTGATTTGTTTCCTTCTTCATATTACTTCTGATTTGGAGAGCTTTCTTGTCTTTAGCTATTCTGGCTCTGCCTTCATCCATGCTAGGAAAAAATCATGCATTTAGTTCCCTTAAACCTTCCTCATATCGCCTGCTTATTTAGTCAAGCTCTTGCATTAAATATTGCTTTTTCCAGCCTTTCTCACATTTCCTTGATGCTTCTTCTAGAATCCTTTCTATTCCTTTAACACCACTTCTGAAAAACTCCTCAATGACCTCTTGTTTCTTTTCTCCTCAGTAAGAAATATATATTTTTTTATACTCTCAGAAGAGATTCTTTACTTTCCTATGTGGGAAATTGTTTTTCTGAATTATCATCTATGCCAAATAACCTTAAAATATTCAGTGGTTTCAGGTGTTGCTATGACAATGCAGACCTATTGGATTTAAATCTCTGGCATGTACAGGGCAATTAGAACCCATCTTTGAGCCCAGGGAATTTGTAGGTTAGTGAGAATTTTAGAAGCTATAATAAGGGCATGCTGACACATGCCAAAGTCAGTGACATGCAGAGCATGGACATAACACGAAATGCGGTACTGAATGCCATTCTATTTTGATTTAAGTCATGAAAGTTTCCTCTGTTTAATTTTATCATCCATGAGTTGCAGAGTTGGAAACTGGATGAAAAAAAAAGGCTAATATTTATTGGTTCAGGCCAAAACTAATTTCAGGAAACACTTATCTAACTCTCTGTTACTTAAGAGATGTGTGTGTTGTCAAAAAACTAGAGACAAATCATGCCCAAGATTAGGTTTTAACATACATAAAAGTAAGTTTCCCATGAACGTATGAGAATTTTGCTTCCTAACAAAGAAAAGATGATGATCAGTAAACAATATTAAGAATGTTGAGGCCTTCAAATCTACCTGTGCTTTTAAAATGTTTATTATTATTTTTAATAATAATAATAATAATAATAACAACAACAACTTTATTAAAAGCTTCAGAATACAACAGCTTCAAGAAATATAAATATTATGGCAATGATTCATATGCATCTTGAAGTGCATATTTTGATACAAGTAAATGTATAAAAATATTTTTAGTTACTTTTATATATATATATTGTAAAAGGTGCATGTATAACCTTGTAAATAGTATAAGCAATAAGGTAATGGTAGAGGTTTATATCAATTGTTTTACTAAGTAGCATGGGTTGGATATAGGGCTTAAATAGACAGAAAGCAAATAAATTATTTGCTTCTGCACAGGGGAATCTTCTATTTCCTTCTATTTTAAGAAACACTTTCCATGAGTCAACAGAAAAAAAAATAACATAGATAAATTATATCCCATGTGAGTATGAAGGATATGCAAGAAATAAATCTAAAATATTGCTTAAAACCAAGAAAGAAACATTTTCTTTTGGCTCATATTTTAAATTATTTTTGTCTAATACAATCTAGGTCAGCTTGTAAACAGAAAATACAAAATGAAGAAAAAATGTTTCTGCATTTCTGATGAGAAATATTTTAATACCTTCAAAGGAACATATTCAAGATATTTTAAAAGTTTCCCTTTTCTAGCAATAGTTCTTTCATTATTTCAACTCAAATTCCTATGGCTTTGATCTTATGAAATTTATCATTTTTCACAAATTAACCACTGATAATTAAGAAGAAAAAGCCCTTATCTGCTATGGATAGATCATCTTGCTTCATCACATATAGCAAATTGACCAATTATACTATTTAAAAACTCTTTTAAAAAGCCTTTTTGTGTTTCCTACAGTTCTGTAGTTTCTGTCTAATAATAGCAGTAGTTACCTTCTCCATGAGATAAGTTTGTTGCTTGGGAAAGAAAAATTAATTTTATGAATAGGATTCACTCATAGATGTAAATGTCACTGTACCAGGCCATCAGTAAATCTGAAAGGAAGCAAATTCTCCATATGCTATTATAATAATACACTTTTTCTTGAACGGATGAGCATTACAATGTGGAGTGTAACAATCAGTTTATAGTAGATGTTAAAGGTATCAGAAATATGGCAAAGAAAAATTATTATAAAGAAGCTGCATATCAAACCTAATTTATCTCAAAATATTGAGGAAATAATCTACGTACATAGACTTTTGCATTTGCAGCAGCATACTGCAGTCTCTTTTCAGATGCAGATCAGACAGAGAATAACAATAAGAAAAGTAAATAAGAACTGTAAAACAGATTTAGGCATTCAGTTTTACTAATAGATGGGTGTTGGTTTAAAATCTGCCTTGATGATCGTTAGTAACTCCTTGACATTTCTACCACATTATTTGATTTCCAAAGACCGCTAAGAATCTCTATTGTCTAAAAATTTTCTCCTACGTGTTGTGGAGAAGGCTGTAATTATCAACTTTTCAAGTTGAGAAAATAATTATCCAAATACATTCTTTTTAGACAAACATAAAGTTATTTATGCTAATGTACTTCATGAAAAACTATGATGAAACTAGACAAAACAACTCTAAGCTATACACTGACAAAAGTTTATTCTTCAAAGAAAGCCATAGTTTCTTGATGGATGTTCCAAAACAGATTTTAATTGTCCTCCTGCTGAAAAGTTTTAGTTAGGTCTGAGGGATTTGGGTGTTATGAAACCAGAAATATTTTTGGCTTGGCTAAGACACATGAATTCAATGCAATAAATGTAGCTAAGAACACTTTTGTCTTTATGATTATGAAATGGCATCTGAAACCATGGAGAAATAAATGTTAATATTCCTGTAAAGTAGATTATAAATCACAGTGATAAGCTGCTGAAAAATATGGAATGGAAGAATAAAATCATTTAACATTTATACCATTCAGTTTCCTTTTAAGTTCAAGGTAAAACTTCATTAAGGCAATGGAGTACTTTCAGAAACCTAATTTCTAAACTTTATAATTTACATAATTTAAAAAATATTTTGGAAGCCCTTTTTCTGCCGTCCTGTAGCCATCAGAAGTTCACAAATCAGCCCCTGAAAAGCACTTGTGTATGTCATAAAATAATTCATGATATTTAGATTCTTCCCCAGTACAAAGAACTGCAGAACCTTCTATCAACTTCTCCCTACAAAGCATCAAAAAAAAGAAAGAAAACGCCCTAGCAGTAGCAGACATAGATATTTTTCTATTGCTCCTATCTATATGCATCCCATGTACTTTTCTTTTTTCATATCACTATCTAAACTTTTGTTTTTCTCTATCTTGATACCTGCTTTTAATAGCTCCATTTTGTTTGCTGAATAATTTTTTTCTCTCTTTTTTTGTTTTGATTTTCTTTTCCTTTTGGTTTTTTTTTTCCATTTCTTTTTTTTTTCCTTTCCCTGTTCAGTCAGTGACATGCAACAAACAAATGTTTCACAGGCACTATTTCAGCGACTTTCTTTGCATCTAAATGTGGCACCTTGGTTTTAAAATGGTAATATGGTGCTGTTCTCTGTACTTAAAAAATGCAATAGTTAAAATACTTTGAAATTATCTTGTTCCATTGCTTGACAAAATTAATCTGGCTTTTCTGGACCAAATTCATTATATATCTAATACTTCATTATATTCTTGGATAGCTATGACCACTTTGCTGGGGAGGGAAATACAGCGTTTTCTTCAAGCTACTCAGCCTAGATGTTCTTATTATTAACATATTTCATCTTACAAAAATCCTTTGTTCAGGTAAAGTGGAACCGGGTCCTGTCATTATATTACTAAGTTATAAATAGATAAAAAATTTTGTCTCCCTCCCTTATGTGCTATAGAATAATTCTACAACTGAGCACAATCAGAATCTGAATTATTGTTTCCTAGTTCAGTAAAGTTTTCATCCTGTCATTTTCCCTGTTCAGCATGTGAGCATGTTTTCTACAAAATCATTGCATTAGTACTTCCCTTTCAAGAGAAATCTCTGCAATACTGTGAGAAAGCACAGCTAGGAAAGGATCATAGCCCTGCATTAAGGTTGATGGATGATCTTGAGCATAGAGGAGTGAGAAGCAGAAAGACTGACAGTAGAACAAGAATTGCTTTGAGTAAAGATACCAAGATATGTGTCTTAACCCTATTGTAACGGGGTTATATGAACATATTGAGTATTTTAGGGAGCAGAAAAGCCATACAATACCCCCCCCCAAATAATAGCAACATAACAGATTTTCTTTTCCTCTCTCCATACATGAAGCTGCTAAACATACCCAAAACATGAATGAGTCTGTCAAGGCAAAGCAATTTTAACCAGTTTCACATAATTTAAAATATTTAAAAGTTTTGTTTTCTTTTTATTTTATTAAACATTTGTCATCAGTCACTAAGAAGATTTTCATATTAAACTCTCATTACAGAAGCATTAACAGAAATGTGCAGATTCTCAAGTACCTATATTTCAGTATTAGCACAGTTGGATGCATTAAGTGCTAGTGTCAGAAGGCATCACTACGCAGATAAGTTTATATTAGTATATTCTTAAATGCTTAACATTTTTCTTTCTCTGTGTCATAAAAGGCAGTCATAGAATCCCACATATAATCTGGTTTTCCTTTGTTACCTTTCAAAATATGTTAATATCTACCTGCATGGTGGGTTTTGAGGCTGGGGAGTTTTTGGTGGTCAAATTCAGTGCATTTTTTTCTCAGTGATTGTTTTTGTCCTTTAGACTTGAATCTCCTACTAGGTCTTTGGTGATGGAAGCACCCAGAGGAGTGCAAGTCAACGCAGCTGCAGGAGACTTAAAGGCTACCTGCAGGAAAGAACTGCACTTGCAGTCCACAGAAGGGGAGGTAAGTTCAGCCAGCAGAGAAATGTTCTACAGCTCTGCCCAGCATAACACAAACAATGTGAGGAGGGTTTATTCAGCAGCAATGTAAACAACATGAAAAGTATTCTGCATTTGCCTTTGTTAAAGTAATTTTGGTTTAGCTTAACTATTAATACTTATTTCCTTTTTTACAAATATTTGAATCCATAAGTTTAATTCACACTGAAAATAAACTTAGTTGATACAGATCAGAATTACTTGTAAATTAAGAATCAAAGAAAAACCTTCCATGGAAACAGAATTGGTTACATGATACTGGTAAAAAATAACTTGGATTAATCTGTCAAAATAAAACAGAGAAGTTTGGATTAATTTAGATTAATACATCATTAAACCATGAATAAGAGGTTTAACAAATTTGCTCTACCTGTGGTTTAACTCCTTCATCTTTTACTACCTCTCTAAGAGACATAGAGTACTTCCATCATATATTCTCTCCTGTTTCATTAGTGTCTTGTTTCAGAGATCACTGATAATTAATTGACATAAAAAGACTTTGGTAAAGATTCTTCATGTGTAAACCTGTGTGAACACATGCAAATGATTCAAAATTGGGTCACTTGTTGGGACTGTAATCTATACATTTCAGAAATGCATGAAAGATTGCTGGTATGGGAGTCCTTTCATCTTTAGACCATAAAATGATATAACATTAAAAAAAAAAAAAGCAAAGATCTTGTTGACGGCTATCAAGAGCTCTCAGATTTCTATTAAGCACTTTGGAGAAACTGATATATTTTCAAATTGTTCTCAGAGGGGCTTGCTACAGTACAGCACTTTTGGAAGTTCGTAATGTAAATATTTCACTGTGAATGAAGCTCTTTAGAAATGTTTTGCCTTTTGTGTTTGTGTTTTGTATTCTCTACCAAATGTTTCTAGATGTTTTACATACTGTCTAACATAGGCAAAACCAAACAAAACCAACATTCACATCTGTGGCAGATAGTTCCCTGGAATGCACACTCTGCATTACGGTGCAGACAGGAACATTTTGGCCAATATAGTGCATCAAAATAATATTTTGGTAACATTTTTTTATTGATGCAAGTATCTCTAGCATAATTAAAGCACTATGTTTTCCTAATTCAGAGTCTCAAATGTTTACATACCACATGCCCCAACTTATTTTTGAGTTTCTCCAAAATCAGCTCTTTCCCCAGTCTCTCATCTTTACTTACCGCCTCTCTTACTGTTTCCTAACATTGCTGAGATAGAAGTAAAAAAATCGAATTCTCTTTTAATAACAAATATTGTCCTACCTCATCATTGTCCCTTCTGTGAGTATTTTTGAGTCTAGAGCTTCCTGTAACCTGTCTTGTTTCCCTTTCATAAGTCCCTACCTGGCCAAATCTACTATGTTTCCTAAATTTATTAGCATAAATTTTACAAATAGAATGTATGTCTTTGTTCTTTCCCTTTGTGATATTGCCAGAGGGGAAAAGTAAAACTTGAATTCAAATTAAAGTTAAAAAAAGAGAAGCCAACAGAAAGACTGTTACCATTCCTTACTCTCCCATTATTCTTTAGGCAATGCTTGTTTCTATATTCTCTTTGTTTTGCATCATACACCTCTTCATGTAAATATTTTATCTATGGATCTGTCAGGTTTTTTTTTCTAGATCAACATTGCGATTTAATTGCAATGTTGATCTGGAAAAAAATGACTTGTCATTTTTATTAAGTATTTACTATATCTTGTTGGAAAATTAGTTTTGGAAACAATGTCCTATGACCTCAGTTGTACTATGACAATGGAAATCCAAGAAAAAATATAATGCCTATATTATGTTTTATTCCGAACTGGAATTCAGTTTAGTATTAAATGTTTTGTAGTAAAAAAATGCTAGTGAAAAGCTGAATTTTCTGACCTTCTTATTGAAAATTATTATTTTCTCTGTGATAAGACTATGCACATCTGTGATTTCCTACAAAGATTTTAGATTGAAAATTATCAGAAAACAAATTACCAACCTTTATCCAATCTTTGCAATGAAGTGTGCAATAAATATACATCTGACAAAGTTCAAAGTCTTGAATGCTTGCAATTTCAATAAGATCTGAAATGAACTGTAGCAAAAATCCACAGAAAAATTCTGTTCTGCAGTCTGACCAATGCCTCTACAATCCACTGTTTAAGCTCTTCCACTGGAGAGGTTTAGAGGAAAACGCAGAAACACTTAGGAAGGCATATGACAGGCACCAGAGCATTAGCTGTTGTGCAAAGTTACTATGGTCCCGTTAGGGAATTGCTGGACTAATTGCAGCCTGGTGTGAGGAACCAGGGTAAACATCTGATGGATTAAATATCTACACAACAAAATATTGATTGCTTTTCCTGCTTACAGCCCAACAGATAAACCACATTAACAGACAGTACAGAAAAATGCTTAAAGATTTTATCATTATTCATTTTTAAGAAAACACATTCTAAAATGACATAGTATCTGGATTAAAAATAATCATTTTAGCTTAAGAATTGAATGCCTTATAAGTCAGGTTTCCTCCACAAATAAAGTGTTGTCTTTGTGAATTGGATCTGTGAACCATTTTCACAATAAGACAATTTGTACTAGAAAGGCATGCAAAGGTTTTTGTACCATTTTTATTCTAGTTAGTGAAATTTAATTTTTTAATGTTTGAAAGCTTTTTCAAAAACTCATCAAAGATATGTGAATTCAAATTTTCTTTCTCTAGCAAAGTTATTGCCCTATTATGACAGAAAATGTGGCACCTGAAATCAACTAGTTATAGCCATGTTACAGAGCATTATGCATTTACTGACTATGAAAAATAGATTTCCTTTTTATTTAAGAATAACTTCAGAATATTTTTAAGAACATAAATGTGTTTATGAAATACTTTTCCTCTAGCTTTATTTCTATGCAGTATAATCTTTAGCCTCCCACATCACAAACTGAATGCCTCTGCAAGCATCCTGAATTCTGCTGTTTGATACATTTTCTTTTTATTTACTGCAGTATTTTAATAATCCTTTTAGCCCTATTACGCATCATAGTGTGTGATCCCAGACTGAATACTGGCGGCTGTAATTTAGATTCAGATTCTGCTGCCCTTTCTAAAGCTCTTGAGCTGCACCCTTGTGAGCCGAGGCATCAGCAGAATCCTTTGATTCAATTATAACTTGGCATTTAGTTGTGAACTATGTATTATTCTATAAATAAACCATAACCAATGGTTTAAAGCAGCAATCATTTACAAGGAACATGAAATGTGAAGCTCCAGGCTACAGCTGAATCCACTGGTTCACATAAGAAGAAAAAGATCATTTCTTGTCTGGAAATTTAACACAATGACTGCTAGTTCACTACAGCTTTTTCAAATAAGAGTGTAATGCAAAAGTACAAATCAATTTTGAATTCTGTAGATACTTTATTTTACTAGACATAAAAATGTTCAAGTTGGACCTGAAACACATAACTGTGTAAAGACAGCAAACTGAATGGTTTGTTTGATGGTGTCCACACATTGGCCTAACAACTAACTGAAATAGTTTTGACCATCCAGAATCACAGAATGGGTCAAGTTGGAAGAGGACCACAATGGGCCATCTGGTTCCTCTTCCCTGCTGCAGCAGGATCATTCTAGAGCACATGGGATTGTGTCCAGATGGTTCCTGAGTATCTCCAGTGAGGGAGAATCCACATCTTTTCTGGGCAGTCTGCTACGGTGTTCATTCACCCACACAGTAAGGTTCCTTCTCATATTTAAGTGTAATTTTCTGTGAAAGAGTTTCTGCCCATTGCCTCTTAACCTGTTGCTTGGCACCCCAAAGAAGATCCTGGATCCATTCTCTGAGACCCTTTGTGCAGATATCATAGATATTGATGAGGTCCCCTCCCAGATGTCTGTCCTTGAAGTTGAACAGGCCCAGCTCCCTCAGCCTTTCCTCACAAGAGAGATGTTCCAATCCCTCATTCATCTTTGTTGCCCTCCACTGGACCTGCTCCAGGAGCTCCATGTCTCTCCTGCCCTGAGGAACCCAGAGCTGGGCACAGCACTCCTGGTGTGCTGAGTAGAGGGGCAGGATCACCTCCCTCAGCCTGCTGGCACTGTCCTTCCTAATGCCCCCCAGGACACCATTGGCCCTCTCATCCCCATGGGCACACTGCTGGCTTGTGGGCAGTTTGTTGTCCACCAGAACCCCCAGGTCCTTCCCTGGACAGCTGCTTTCCAGCAGGTCAATCCCAGCCTGTGCTGGTGCATGGGGTCACTCCTCCCCAGCTGCAGGACCCTGCACTTTGCTGAATTTCGGAACGTTTCTCTCTGTCATCACTGCAGCCTGCCAAGGCCCCTCTGCAGGCTGCCCAGCACTCTGGGGCATTGGCTGCAGCAGCCTCTGAAGCAGAAGGCTGCTGAGTAGGCTCAGCTCTTAGGAATCTTGAGCAGCTGCTATATGTCTGTCCAAGGAGCTTCTGTGCAAGTTATGCTTTGCATTTTCATTGCATCCTGTTGACTGCCAAGGATTGAGTCAATAAAAGGAGAAAGATGTACAGAGGTTTCTCATTTTTAGAAATGTATTCATATTAATCACCTTGTCTATGACCTTTTTCCTATTTACCTCTTTATGCCCTTGTATTTCCCTGTCAAATTGGACTCTATCATACTCTACAATATCATTTGTAGCGTATATTTTGTTGTGTCTGGCATAATGAGGCTGATCCTTCATTATGGTAAGGCTTATAGATGTCACAGTAAAAATGAGCTATATTCTTTAACAGACAAAGTTTACTCAAAATCAGTGTGGCAGACAAGAGGCCAAGTTTATATTTACTGTTTTAGCACAGCACATTTAATCAAACACACAGACAATATTATTTTGTAGAGCCTAACAAATGCATATAGAGCTAACATTTGATCTATAATCCTCTCCAGTTCTAAATCCAGGAGATGCTTTTAACACAGAGATTAATAATTAAGATTTATTCACATATAATAAAACTG